GAAATAATTTCATTCAGTCAACTTTACAAAAGCTTAATTGTAAAGAATTGTCAAGGCAAGAAAGAAACCAGCAAAACATCAAAAACATGAAGCCTTCCGATGACAATTCTAGATAGCCCTACTTCGATAGACAAAATCCAAATTAGTTGTGACCAAAATGAACCATAATTAAATAACCATGTAATGTAAACTGCTCGAGAAGCATGAATGCATAAGGCATAGAATAATCCAACGAAGCAACAATCAATTGGCCATCTTAATTGGGATATACGTCGACCAACTGCAGCCTTTACAATAGCAACTGTTAGGACATCGAGAAACAGGCCAGCGTATAGCTACGCTGATGGATTACTTGACGGCCAAAGGTGAATGGAAATGATTACGCCAACAAACCAAGGTATTCCATGACATGATCACTCCAAAGTTGATAACAAATGTTGACATCTATCCCATTTAGGATAGTTTTTATCCACTGATTTACTTAACTCAACGTCAAGTTCATTTTATTAATCCATATTAAATTGGAAACAATGTTAATAATAGTTAAAAAACGAAGACACATTATTCAGGTTTGATCAATTATTGACTGAAGCCTATGATTCAATCATGATGAGAAATTACATCAACATAACTTGTTAGGAACAATTTGTACAGCGGTTATTCAGCCAGCTTTTGAAAAGTTCAATCATATGTTTGGTTGCTAAGCAACAAAGAAGCTTAATTGAATCAAGATTTTTTATTAAATTTTATTGTGTCCATACAATGTTGCGTCAAATAATTTGCATTTGTACAACTGTAAATTCGGTTGATCAATACTGTTTCATCGCATTTTGTTCAAAGCCTAAACTTTGATGATATTTAAAGTTATGTGTTATTTAGTTATTAAAATTACTTTTTTCGGACAAACAGAAGCTTTCCTTCCATTAATATTACAATAAATATCTGATTGGTATCCGATGGTCATGATAAGTGAGAATACTTTCAGAAAAAGATTACAAAAGTTTGTGAAAAATTGATAGATTATACCTCAATCTGCTAAAATTGTTCAGAAATATTTATACAGGTCGAATTTCAATCAAAACCTTTCGGAAATAATGATTATTGAAACTTCAATAATCAAAACTAAATATTCTCAATAAAATTCTGTTTATTGATCAGGATCGAGTAGAATAGGTAAACGATTATGATTTCTGAGAAAACAGTATTTCATGAAATCAAATCCACGACCGATTCGTACACGTTTGGCTGATAGCTGAGGCCATTTCTTGTATTTTAGGCCATTTTTGGTAGTAAAATGATATTGAACGATTATGACGTCCACAGTACTGATCATATATTCAGTTGACTTTTCGGTTACTTTGCGCGAGTATCTGATGTCAA